GCCTGCTGAGGGGATGCCCTCACACCTGTGCACCCCTCCCAGCCTCTCCTCCCGAAGGCAGCAGCCTGGGCCCCAGCTTTGTGAGACCGACCGCCTATTTCATCCGGAGCAACACCCACGGAGGGTCCCCCACGCCACGTGTGAGGGGGCCCCTGTCTAGGCGATGGGAGTCTGTGCGGGACGGGCCTCAGACAGCCCCTTCTGAACAGGGGGGTGGACGAGCTCTGCTGGTTTACCTAGATCCTTCCTGAGGGTCGTTACGCTTTCAGCCCGCACCGCGTGGAGGGGAGGCATACAGGAGGAGAGGGCCTTCGCCTCGGAGACGTGGGTCCCCCGGCGGCGTCCTGAAGGCCACACTGTCCCCGTTGCTGGGTCAGGTGGCCCTTCTGGGTGCCACGAGGGCAGGCACGTGTGAGGGGCCCTACTTGGGGTCTCACGCTGCCTTCAGGGTTTTCCTGAGGCCCCGACAGGACACGTGCTCTGACGGGCAGTGGCGGCTCCTTGTCATCCGGTGTCAGTGAGCCCCTTGGGGTCCTGGGTTCTGTGGTCCGAGAGGGGGTGTTTCCTCTGCCACCTCAGTCACGGTTCTGCACAGAAACAGAGCCACGGGATCTACAGGGGGAAACAGGGGGACATTTGTTAGGGGGGTGGGCTCACGTGAGCATGGAGGCCGAGGAGTCCCGTGAGCAGCCCTGTGCAAAGCTGGAGCTGTCGTCCCTGTCCGAGTGCCAGGGCCTGCGAGCCTGGGGCATGAGAGGACCAGGGGGCATGAGAGCGGATCAGGGGGCATGAGGAACCAGGCGGTGGGAGTCCCAGCCCAGGGCGAAGGCCCCAAAAACTAGCAGCGCTGGCATCTGAGGGCAGGAGAGGACGGATGTCCCGGTTTGACAGGGAGCACATGCCCTTTGCTGCCTTTCTGCCCCGGGTGGGTTGGGATGTGCCCATTTACGGTGGTGAGGGCACCTTCCTTACTCCGTCTCCCAATATAAATGCTGCCAGCTTCTGGAAACACCCTCTCAGAGTCACACAGAAATAATGCCCACCTGCCATCTGGGCATCCCTAGGCCCAGTCAGGTTGGCACATACAATCAACCTGGGGACACAGAACTCATGAGAGACAGTCTCTCCCATCAAGAGATAACAGTGTAGACGAAGGAAGAGCCCAGACACACGGCCAGCGCCCACAGACCCCGCGGGGCTGGCCAGGGACGCACAGAGGGGACGCATAGTCGTCCCGCGCCGGCCCCCAGCCGCCTGTTAGAGGCGCTCCTCTAGGGAGAGAGGGGACCACATGCGGCCTCCGCCCACATCTTCTCTCTCCTGTCCAAGACCGAAAGAGACTCCCTGGGCCTTTGACGTAGGGCCCTGTGGGAGAATTCGGACATCTGAGCACGTTTTCTTGGTGGCTCCCCTCCCCCACGTGCGGCCCCTCTCCCTGATGGCCCCCTCCCCCACGTGTGGACCCCCTCCCCCATGTGAGGCCCCCCTCCCCCACATGCTGCCCACCCCAGGGATCTCCAGTGGCCTGCGTGTGGTCCGCGCAGGTGAGGCCCGGGGGCCTCTCCGCCCGCCTGTGGCTCTGCCGGCACCGTGATAGGCACGTGCAGCTTCCCCCAGGTGCTCCCTGAATGCAGCCGATGCTGGTGGGGGTGGAGGGGTGAGGACAGGCTCCCTAAAGGAGGAGCTGGCCGGGTCTTTGAGTCTCAGCTGCACCCCTGGCTGTGCGTTTTCCAGGCTGATGGCCACTCAGCCAAGGTGGGCCTAGGCATCCCCTGGGAGCCAGGGCTTTGCTTCCAGTCCCCTCCTGTGGCCGGCAGACCCTTCCAGCCCTCACCCCTGGGGGACACGAAGGGAAGAGCAAGGGCCGTCCCGGTGTCGGGGAGAGGCTGCAGCCCCAGGACCCTTTGCTGGAGTAAAGCAGACCCTCCGCATTCCCTGCTGGGAAGTGAAAGCCGCTGGTCCTGTCGGCTTAGCCACGCTGGGCCTCTTGGCCTGCTTCCCAGGAAGCCTCCGGAAGAGACCCACGGGTCGTCCTGTGGAGGATGCCCTGGGGGCCCAGGGAGGCTGACAAGGGTCTGGAAAATGCCCCTGGATCCTGAGGCACAATCAGGAAGCCGGAGTTATGGCCTCTTGCAAGGGGATTTGGGGCATGCTGCGGCCTGCCCCCAAGCTCTGCTGGCATCTGTTTCCATCAGGGAGTGGTGGCATCGTGTTCTAATGTCCCGACACAGTCACCAGAGCTGAGCGGAACCAGGCCCCCGCAGCCCTGTGTTTTCAATTAGTCTCTCCTCTTTCTCCTTGCCAGGCCTGCAGGCAAGGCAGCCCCCAAGAAGGGCAGTTCTGGCTTCTTCCCTGCAACCCTTTCGCGATTGTCCCCTTCCTTTCGTATGTTTTCCATAATGACAAGGACTATTTTGTAAGCCATCTTTGCTTGGACCAAAGGGCTGAGCATGTAGCCCTAGAGCGTCGCCAGCGTCCCACCCCAGAGTCCCTGCCATCCCCCCGGGAGGGCCACGGCCTCAGGAATCGAGGCTCCCTCTGCAAAAACTTACTTTTAAAAACAGACGGTACTCATCAAAACACTGCTGCCGGCAGTCTGCTGGGATTAGCGTGGTTTCCACCAAGGAATCTGATCCCTCGGCTCTCCGCAGTCCCACCTGCAGACAGCTTGGTCACCCCTGAGGGAGGCACACAATATTGCATCTGGTCCTGGAGGTTCCAGGTGTTTGTGCCCTGGAAGATGCCCAGGCAGAGGGCCGGCCTTTGCTGGGACAGCTTTCCTGTGTTGGAAGAGAATATGGGCCAGAGCGGGAACCGGGTTTGTGTTCTAAGAATCCACACAGACTGTGGCAATGCTGGGGGAAAACTAATACGAGAAGCTTATACAGAGCAGAGAACAGGAGGGGAGGCAAGCCGGGGCTGGAACGGGGGTGACTGGCTCCTCCCCTAGGCTTGGGGTGAGGCAAAGACAGTTTCAAAAGCCACTTGGCCCTGGAATGTCACTATTTTGCATAACTTGCATCAGTAGCATCAGAAGGAAAAGCAACTATTCCAGAAGGATTTTTTTTTTTAAGTAGAAAGAGGAATCTATTCATTTGCCTAAGTGAATGGACAGTTTGGCTTCAGGTGTAGCTAGATCTGGGTGCTCATATTATGTCACCCAGTCTCATTTTTCTCACTCTTTCTGTTCTCCTTCCTTTCTCTCCTCTTCTTTCTCTTGACCACCCCCCCAGCCTCTGCGCATTCCATCCCCCTGTGCAGGCCCCACTCCCAGGCACGGTGGTCCCCAGTGCATCCATGTTTATAGCCCCCCTGCTTAGCACCAGTGAAAGCCCTGAAAAGTTTTAACACAAAACTTTGATGACATTTCAGGGTTTCAAATGCTGAATGGATGCGTGCTGGCTGTGACCATCCACACGCACACACAGGCACACACACATGACCATCTCCGTGAGCTCCGCATGCACTGTGGGGAGTCTGAGCAACACGCAGAGAGATCTGGACACGTTAATATGGATGGGGGCATTGGTGTTGAGAGTTCCTGGTTCTGGGAAATTGAGTTGGCAGAATGCAAAGGAACTCCTGTTTTGGGAGACAGTGGGAGGAAGACAGGCATTTACAATTCAGATTTGAAAGGTGATATCTGGAATTAAAGGGAAGAAATGAGACCAAAAAAACATTCTAGAAGCTTGAATTCCATTTATTCTTCTGTCAGTGGAGCTGAGCAGTGACTGGTATTGAAAAACACAATCTTCTTTTAAGAAGAGGGGACTCTGTGGACTGTCTGTTGGTCAGTCTCTGCTTTTCCTAATTCAGTACTGGGTGTGCACGCACAGCACACGGTGGGCCAAGGGCTGCGCGCAGTTCGTTGTTCCAGCAGCAGGTTCTGTTCTGTGGCTTGGGCCTGAGTCACAGCTTTGCTGGAGGGGCCCCTCTCACCACCTGCTGGAGGAGACTGAACTCATGGGTGGTGCCCCCGGGCAAAGCAGAGCTGCACTCGCTGGGCTGAGAGCGGTGCTGGTGGCCTGATGGGTGAAGCCGGCTGTGGGGCCCTCAGTGGGGGTGGGTGATGGGGAAGGAGCCCTGAGGCTGGGCTGCTCTACTGGCCGGGCTGACCTGGGGCCCAGCGGATGGCGCACAGGCCTATCAGGTGCCCGCTGTGCACAAGCGCTCTGGTGAGCCTGGCCCACGCTGCCCTGCTCGCTTATGCCCACCCAAGGCCAGACTCCAGCCTGGGCCGCGGGCTCTCCCTCTGTGGACTGGGGACACTGGTGGGAAGTGTCGTGGTGGGCTCCAGGACCTCCAGGGTCTCTATGGAGGCGCTCCAGGAGTCACCCGGGGCGGTAGAGGGGCCAGGCAGGTGCAGCTTCATCCCATCCCCGGCTGACCTGCCCTGTAGACCAGGGGTCCCTGGAAAGGTTTGTTTAAGAAGAGCTTTTAGGTTTAATGACCTCACAGAATGTAGGTCACCTGATCTCTGAGATCCCTCCTGTGACTCTGACCCCGGCTCTTCTGCTAGCGCCTTCCGTGGCTCTGGGCTTGCATTCCCCTTCTCTGGGCCTCAGTGTCCCTGTCTGTAGAATGAAGGTTTGGGTAAGGGAAGCCCAGGGCTCCACAAGCCCACGAGGAGGGGTGGAAAGCCCTTGGGTTCACTGAACCCCATTTGGCTAGTGCCACCGAGGCGCGGTCTCCCATCTGTCCTGTGTTGCTGGGTCCAGGCGCCTGTCCGCGGCTCCGTCCCAGGCCCTGGGCGCCTGTCCGCGGCTCCGTCCCAGGCCCTGGGCGCCTGTCCGTGGCTCCGTCCCAGGCCCTGGGCGCCTGTCCGCGGCTCCGTCCCAGGCCCTGGGCGCCTGTCCGTGGCTCCGTCCCAGGCCCTGGGCGCCTGTCCGCGGCTCCGTCCCAGGCCCTGGGCGCCTGTCCGCGGCTCCGTCCCAGGACTCTCGCGAAGCTCCCTTGTCAGTAGCAAGGCACATGGCTTATGCATTCCCTCCTTGCTCCAGGGACCCGCGCAGTGGCGGCCAAGCCCAGCGCGGTCACCGCCCGTCGGCCGCGCGCCAGAGACCAGGAGAGGAAGAGCTCCGCGTCTTCCCTGAGGATGGACCCGCACGGCCGTTCTGGGAGGAGAAAACCTACGAAACCCCGGTCCATCTCGCGGGCCCTGATCCTCTGTGGCGCTAAGACCAGTGACGATGGCTCCAGCCCGGACGAGAGATGTCCTGACCCCTTCGGGGCCGCCCTGGGCCCGGGCGAGGGGGGCGGCCTCCACGCAGCTGCGCCCCTGGCAGGCCCGCGGGAGGCCGGGCCCAGCAGCGCTCCTGGCCCAGCGCCGGCCTCCGAGGCTGCTCGGCTGTCAGCCGCTGGGAGCGACCGGGGCAAGGGCTGCAGGCGGGCGTTCTTCCTGAAGGTACGCCCGGGGGCGCGGGGGCCGGAGGGGCCTGCGCTGGGGTTTCGGTGCCCTGAGGGAGGCAGAGTTCTCATTCTGAGCGCAGGAGGAAGGCAGGCGAGGCCCGCCGGAACGGTAACCGGGCATGTAAGTAGTCCGTCGGGCTCAGGGGAGGTGCGGCAGGACGCTGTGCCGGCCGCGGGAAACTGAGTCAGGCCTCTGCTGGGAATGCGGCCGCCAGAGTCGGTGTACCGGGAGGTCTTGAGCCGCCGGCATGGAATCAGCCCTGTGGAGAACCCGACAGAACCAGCCGGGCGGGCCGGGCAGGGCAGGCGTGCGGACGAGCGAGTCTGCCCCTGAGCGCCGAGGGGGGACGTCTGCAGGGTGCCCTACTGGTCCCAACAGTGTGGGTGCAGAAGGCGGCTGCCCCTGAATGGGCGGAGGGGAGACTAGGGTCTGCCAAGAGTCAGAACGATCTCTATTCTAAGACCGTGTTCCAACTTTGGGTGTCACGGTGCTGTGGAAGTCGCGAGGTGCCTGGGACAGAGGCGACGAAGGCGTTTTGCTCCCAAGTTACTCTGTCAAGTGCGGCCTTCAGCCTTCCATCAGCGGCAGGACTTCCCAAGGGCCCAGGCAGCTCTGGCCCCGGAGCCAGGGCTCACGCGGTGACGGGCCAGCCCCGAGGGGTTTCCCCCACACTTGGCTGCCGGGACCCCCCCCATCCCGGCACAGGCCCACAACTGACGACAGCAGGTAGGGAGCCTGTCCTGTACCCTCAGAGGGGGTCAGTGCGTACGACAACCTGTCCCCTCGAGGAGGAGCATCGTCGCTGACCACGTGTATGTTAAATGATGTCACGTGATGTTCTGTGACAGGTCGGCAGGCCCCAGAGAGGGGAAGCCCAGCCCAGTAATCCTCAGACACAGGCAGAGTCCTCAAGGGCCCCCCTGCCTGGCTGCTCTGTCACCCACCATGTGACATCTGTTGATATACCCTGAGATGGACAGAAGGTGGGACCAGCGGCCAGTGGGTTTGGGGGGCCTGGCCAGGCTCCTGATTTACCCCGAATGACGTGACACATACCATCCATCAACGGACAGTCAAATCTATTCATGACAATATCAACTTATCTGGATTCGAGCTCAGATAATTGAAGTTCAGAAATGCTTTTGAGGTTCTGGCAGATTGTTAGAACAAATCATTCACTCATGTCCATCTAACTTCCTGAGCCCCAATTAGGTGCATGTGCCGGGCACTGTGGAGACCCACTTCTGCTCTCAGGGAAATTGTCTAAAGTGGACTAAAAACATACTCCAAGAGGGCTGTAGGGGCTCAAAAGGAAGGCGCCCACCCTGGGTACTCAGTAAATACTCATGGACACTGCCCTGCCTTGGACACTGTCCTAGGGGCGGGGCCAGATGGCCTGGGGCCTCCCCTCCAGCCTGTACTCTGGTGGGCAATTCAGATGTTAGTGGCCCAAGGGATGGGGCAGCACTACAGAGCGAAGCATAAGCCGGGTAAGGGGCTGCCCTTGTGGGGAAGATCGTTAGGGAGCTCTCCTAGAGAAGTGGCATCCGAGCAAAGACCAGAGTGAATGAAGCAGAGGGAGTCATGTGCACACCTGGAAAGCACTGCAGGCAGCGGGAAAATCACCTGCAAAGGCATGGAGAAAAGAGTGCCCCGTGGCGCATCAGAGAGAGCAGGCACGGGGTGACAGGGGCCGGGAGAATGGAGGAGGAGGCGGGGGCAGCGGGGGCGGAGAGCCTGGGCCAGACTTTGGGCTTGATTCTGAGAGGGATGGGAAAACGCTGGAAAACCGAGCCGCGGAGCCACAGGATCCCTGCAAGGGGCGCCCTGGCTGCGAGCAGGGTGTGGAGGGCAGGGCGAGGGCTCGGGGGCTGGGACAAGGCCCAGGCCGAAGCCGCGCAGTCTGGACCAAGATGGTCACCATAGAGGCCCTGGAACTGGTCAGGGTGGGGCTTTATTTTCAAGGCAGACCTGCAGGACTTGATGAGGGACATGGAGGGGGGATGAAGGGCCATTGTGGTGGCAAGCGGTGATCTGGCCCACCCCAGGGAGAGGCGATGGTGCTCTCAGCTGGGAGACGCTTGGGGCTGGGAAGACATCAGGAGAAGGTGAGCTGTTCCCGGCGGGGGGGTCAGCATTTGACTCAGCAGAGGCGGGACTTCATCAGCAAAGAGAGGGGGTGCGGGAGTGTGTGGTGGCTGTGTGGGGCCACCGTGCACAGCAGAGGGCCCGGCTCTCTGGGGCACCTGCCCAGCCGCTGGGGGCTGCACACCTGGGGAAAGCCAAACGAATGGCACAGGGGCAGAAAGTGGCAATGAATCAAGGACAGCATCACTTTTCTCATCTCTGTGCACATGTTTCATGTATGCACCATACTTTGGTTTACAAGGTGTTTGCACAGCTCTTAGCTCATTGTCCCCTTGTCATCAGTATTTGCATATAAGAAAATCCACCTAAAACAGTAACTGTGCACATAGTGATTGTTTAATAATACTCACAGTAATTTCTTTTTAGGAGGGAGACACTGACTGTACTCGGTAATGAAGGCATGAGTTGCCAGCATTCGTCAAGTGCCTTCAATGTGCCTGGCAGTGTGTAAGAGGTGTGGTTTTGTGATGCTCACAGGCGAGTGATGCAGACATGACAGACTGCTCCTACTTCAGGGCATGGGTGCAGATGTGCAAGGGAAACCACGGGCACCCTGAGGAGGGATGCCCGCCTTTATTTGGAGGAGGTGACTTGGGAGCGGGAAACCCGAGATGTGCGGATCACAGTGAGCAGCGCAGAGGGGCAGGGGGGCACAGGCAGCGTGGGGAGGGGAGGGCCCCATGCTGGAAAGATGGCTCTTTGCTGAGGATGGGGAAGGGACAGCGTACACAGTCGAGCCAAAGCTGAGGCGGGGGTGCCACGGGATGGTGCAGGGGTTTGGCCTTCTTTCTCTTTTTAAGGACACAGGTGATCTCTGGCTGTCCACACATGAGCCCTGAGCAGGCGAGGCCTCCGGTTGTCTGGGCAGGTCCTGTGTCAAATGTGCCAGGGACACCCTGGCCCCCATCCTGGCCTGTACCCTGCCCTGTACCCATGCGTGACTCAACTGGCCCAGAGGCACCCCCCACCTTCAGAGATGCCATGGTTACACTGAGCTCAAAACAACATGTGGGCAGAGGCCCTGTGACATCAGTCCCTCCTCTAGAAACGCCTAATAGGAAAATCAGAGAGCAAGTCAGATGGTCAGCCCGCTGACAAGAAGCCTCGGGGGATGAGCCGCCCTGGGCGGAGTGATCGCCGTGAGGAGCCGTGCCGAAGCCGGCCGGACGCTGCACCGGGGCGAGTGAGCTCTGAACCCGTTGTGCAGCAGGCCAACGCTGGGATGTCCTCCGCAGGGGTCCCCCGCCCCGTCGGGGGCAAAGTCAGACACCCTAACTAAACAACAGTCTGTCAGGCCTAGGCCTTCGGAAAGAGGAAACGCCCAGAGTCCAGACCCGCTGTCCCTTTTCCAATGGAAAGAGCATTTGATAATGAATGCCCTGTGGGAGGCGAGCTCGGTGGGGGCGGATGCCTGCCCGGACTGCCCCTCTCTCCTTCTCCTGTTGCTGCAGACCCGGGCAAAGCTCCCGCCCTGAGCTACCCTCTGGGGATAACAAAGCTCATCTGACACGGTCCTCCCTCAGGGAGCTTGCTGTGTGGAGAAGGGGACGGGGTGGGCGTCATCAGTCCTGTCCCTTGTCCTCTCCTCTGCGCTACGGCTCTGCCTGTCCAGTCCTCTCGTGGAAGGAGTCCCACGCACAGCATCACTGAGCCTTTCATGTCCCGGAGATTGTACAGCGCTAGGACTTACGCCCTTCATGACCTTCCCTAGCAGCGAGTGGGGCCAGCAAGATTACTGTGAAATCTTGTTTTTCTAAGGGATCTGTTTTCAGCACACACAACCTCCCGTGGGCATTTTTGGGTAATCACAGCTCTGTTTCTTCCGCCTAGTTTTGATACAATTCCCCTCTATTTCACGGGCCGGGGCCCGCAGTACAACGCTGATAGTAGGCATCCTCGTCTCATTCCTAATTTCAGGGGGAAAGTTTCATTATTTTGCGAGTAAGTGTAATATTTGCTGCAGTTTTTTTGTAGATTGTCTTCACTGGATTGAGGAGGTTTCCCTGTTTGCAGTTGGAAAGAAGTTTTTGTTTTTCCCCTCATGAATTGTTGAGTTTTATCACATGATTATTTTTCTACATTTACTGAGAGAATCATATGGATTGTTCTACTTTATTTTCATTAATGTGATGAATTACATTGACTGCTTTGAATAGACAACAGTGCATACCTGGAATAAATTCAACTTAGTTATGCTCTCTTATCCTTTTAATATAACCGTGCATTTGATATGATAATACCTTTGCCATTTGTGCTTGTGAGAGAAATTAACTTAAAATTTTCCTTTCTTGTAATGTCATTGATGGGTTTTTGGGTCATGGGTATGTCTGCCTTATGAAATGAGTTAGGGAGTATTTCCTCTTTTCCATCCTCTGGAATAGTTTGACAAATACCAGTGTTACACTTTTTTAAATGGTTGGAAGAATCCACCTATGAGCCATCTGTGCCTGGATATTTCTTTGTGGAAAGGTTTTAAATTACCCCTGAATCTATTTAATAGATACAGGAATATTCAGATTTTAAATTTCTTATGTATCAGTTTTGTTAAGATGCCTTTTTGTTCTAAGAATTTTTTCATCTGAGTTTCTGAATTTATTGGCATAAAGTTGCTCATAAAATCGTACTGCATTTTGTGGGAATTTTATTTAGATAATTGTAGATTCACACGATGTTGTGAAGAATAATGCAGAGGGGCCCTGTGTATGTTCTCCTAGTTTCCCCCAAAGGGAATAACATTTGCAAAACTGTATTATGATATCATAGCTGGGGTGTTGACATTGATAAGCTCCCTCATCTTATTCGGATTTCTCCAACTTTATTCATAATTGTGTGTGTGTGTGTGTGTG